AAATGCTTCAATCATCGTGACACCGGGAATAGCGAACCTGGGCCCCCGGGAAATTGTGACCAGTGGTGAGTGTAGACGAGTACTTGTTCAACGCAGGCTTTCCATCTTCAAGTTTGGCGTCATCGGGAAGGTGTGGGAAGCTGAGAAAGCGTGGCTCTTCCGGTTCACGCTGCTTCTGAAGATTGCGCGGGTCCATGGCAGGCGAGCTGATATGTTAGATTAGAACAGATTGGTGTGGCCAACGGCGTAGAAGTGAGGATACACAGATTGCCTCGAAGAGATTCGAAGAATGAGCAATGATAAAGTCAACTCAATGGGCGAAGTGGTCACCCGGGAACGAGATACGGTTGATAGCTAGCAGTTACCGTGTGTACCCAGGTACTCCCGCAGCAGGGATGTGGGCAATCGCCGACTGCCCTAGTGATAATCGAGCAATCCGAATGCTCCAACAGGTGTCTGTGTGGGGCATTGACAGTTCTTTGTCACATCGTGCTGTAGCTAAAGCTCGGAAGGAGGGAGGGGTTCCTCGGATGAGGGCACACTGGTACTGCGCGCGTTAGTTCTGTCAGACACAAAGGTTGACCAATGCGACAAAGCTGATTGAAAGCCGAATTATGACGATTGGAAGCCATCTAGCGCCGTGTCTTTTGGTCTGGGGGATTTACTTTGGTTGCGGCCAAATCCGGTGTGTGTCGGCGTAACTACCGGCGCGGCTTCGGCTTGACCAGATGCGGTGTCTGCAACGGCGAAGTCGCTCGCGGGGTGTTCTGGAAAGACGCCATCTCGCGATGGGTATGGCGGGGAGTGACTCGCATGCATGCCTTGGATCTGGTATGCTTGCGAGGTCGTCGGAGCTCATAAGGCTGCATGGCTCGGTTATGTACACCTTTGTAACATATCCATACCGACAACTTCTGGACTAGTCGGTCTAAGCCCGAGTACCCGGTCAACACAGGTATATTTTACCTTTGGAAGAGTGGAGGAATTAACGACCAAGCATGAAGAAAGCATGTGTTGTTAGAATGTCGGGCTTATAGTGTCGCACCGACAGGTCTGAGGATGACATGCACAGCCACGCGGATGACGGGAGATACTTTTCCATAAGATGGGGAAATGGGAAGACAAAGTACAGTTCCTCATAAAGTTTCGCAATGGACGAAAGATGTTCAGGGGAGGTCGTTGCAAACGAAGGCTCCAGCACGATCCCTGCCAAGTTCCCACGATGAATGGGAGAAAACGCCGCTTCCGAAGCCTGGCAGCAGCCCAACCCAACGTCATCCCGCCCATGCACCCATCACAAACCTCTTTAGCTAGGCAGTTTTCATATCGCAAACACTCCCACGCGATTCCTTGTCCAGTTGGGTTGGAGAAAACACTATCGGACAAAGCAAACACCGCTCGCTATCTCTCCGTATCGCTGGCCAGGATGATATTCTCAGATATCGAACGCGTCTCCAGCTTCCAGATTAGAGACTGTCCATCATAGCTGCGCATTCGTCGTTCCCCCAACGTGCGCAAGGTTTCCAGTGAGAGACGCTCTCGCGCACCGGCTCTTTCTTTCCAGCGATCCGGGCACGAGAGGCAGCATCTCATTCCATTGGCTGCCGCTCATCGCGCGTCACCGTCCCGCACGCCAGCACCTCGACGCCCCGTCGCATATACTTTCAGCATTCCAGCACGCAAAGGGCCATGGAGCCTCATTCGCGTCCTGGCTTGTTCCGCAATGGCACGTTGCGTCTTCCACAGGCTCCCCTCGCTGCCTCACCCGGCAACCCAGTGACACAGACCGCTTCAGACCTTAATCTCTGGTACGGTCAGAGTATAAAGCAATCTGCTTACCGTCTTCTCCAACTTTTCAATCCATTCGTAGTTAGCGGAGGGCGGTTGACTCTGACTTTTGTGGGCATGCTCCAATTGACAGCACTGTGTGGATTTGGATCTGTGCTTTGGTATCGGAGCAAAGGGAAGGGGAAGGGGAACACCCTCACTACGCAAGATGCACCTGATACCGCGGCTGGTGAGTTGTTTGAGGCCTTAGTGATACCCGTGGACACACATCCAATCACGTGGCTGAGCTAGCAATCATCTAGCCTTGTCTTGCTAATCCTCCGCAGATGAGGCTGCTACAACGGACTCGGGCCTGCTGAAGAAATATTCCACTATTCGCTCGTATACCGTCTCCTCTACCGGCTTCACATATCCCAGACTCCGGACCTTTTACCGTCCACATCATCAGGAGGACAAACTCCCCAAGTATCCGTGTCCAGTTCCACTGTTGGTTTTCGTCCATGGTCTTGGGGGTTCTATCGCTCAATTCAGTCCTATTCTAATCAGCCTTTCCAATCTCGCTCCATGCTTGGCCGTAGACCTCCCTGGGTGCGGCGTGTCGAGCTTCGAGCCAAAAGCATGGGACGCCTACACCACGGAAGCTCTGGTGCAGCTTCTTGCCGTCGTTATAGAGACTCACCGTGCAGTCGATAGCAGACAACCTGTCGTTCTCGTCGGCCACAGTATGGGATGCTCACTAGCCGCACTCCTAGCTTCTTCGTCTTCGCCGCATGCACATCTCCTTTCGCAAAATGTCAGCGGACTGATTGCTATATGTCCCAAGGCTGAGCCCCCTACCGAGAAAGAGGCCAAAAAGCTGCGTTCAGTCACGTTGACACCCGTTGTCCTCTTCGACCTGATCAGACGCTGGGATAGGAGAGGCGGTGTCAATAGCAAGAGTGTTCTACGCATGGCAGGAGTGGACGCTGACGATGAGACTAAGAAACTGCAGCTGCGCTTCAACAAGCAGAGTCGAAGTTCCGTGTGGTTGAGGATGGCGCGAGGCATGTGCCCCGATTACTCAAGCGGCTCACCGAAAGGAGGCCTTCCTGGTAAGGCAGTATGGAAGGGACTTGACATTCCGTTGTTCCTTGCCGCTGGTGAGACAGATACGGTCACTCCTGCGTCAAATGTCAAGCAGATTGTCGAATTTCTGGGAAGGGATGTCAGCGCAATCCAGCCGCCGAGCGAAAAGGCGAGCTTGCCCATTGCAGCAGCTCCGTTCGTACCTTCCGCAGTCCTCCCGAACGAGCCGAAGCGTACAGAGCACCAGGACTCTGGTATTGATGCAACAGACCTACCCAAACTCGAAGATGATACCAGGACCATCGAATCAACTTCCGTGTCCACCAATAATGGAAGTCTCACGTCTACAGAGGAGAATACAACAGAAGGGAGCATAACTACGGCTGACGGGCCAATGCTCTCCGATACCACAAGCCCATCATCACACACTCCGTCGCCTCATCCGCGTCGGCTAGTTGTTAAGACTGCTATTATGCCCAAGCCGGCCGCTCATTCCTTACTGTTTGCGCCGTCTACATCCCGCATAATAGCTGGGCTGATTGGCACCTTCTTTGCCGACTATATCGATCCTCGTCTATCGCTTGCTTGGCAACTCAACTATCTGTCAACTGAGGGGAAATGGGACGTCAAGAATCTGGAAAAATGGAAGGCCGTGCGCCCAGTATCGGAGCCTATTGCTGGTGTCTTTCGCGCAATGAAGACACTTCGTGAGGTCGACGAAGAGCACACACCAAAGGTGCTCACCAAGAACTGGGCAGGCAAGCTCTGCGCAATCATCGACATCTCGCACGACAACCCTGTATACGATCCAAAAGGTCTGGAAGAAGGCGGCATCCTATATCATAAATTTCCGACAGTGTCAAAACAACCTCCACAGTCAGCTGAGGTCAAAGAGTTTTTCGACCTCGTTGACAAGATCCGAGCTGAAGGCAGACCGGGTCTGATTGGGGTACACTGTCACTATGGCTTTAACCGTACCGGCTTCTTTCTTGTGTCGTACATGATCGAGCGACTAGGATACCGGGTAGAAGATGCGATCGACACCTTCCAGCAGGCTCGCCCACCAGGCATCCGACACTCGCATTTCATAGATGCACTTTACGTTCGGTACTGTCAGGGTCTTAGGCGCGCTCCGACATTGTGACTAGCACAATGACAACATTCTTCTTGTTCATTCTTACCGTTTTGGGCGGCCTTTTTGTATAGTATGCTTTTATTGGTTGTTTCGTGTCCACTCGGTCTGGCAAGCGCTCGCGTTAAGGCGTACAATCACTGTCGGACATGGGCACATTATGAGGGATATAGCAACTTGTGGTATCAGGGTCGCATCCTTGGACTAGCACTAGTATATTTTCTGATCAATAAAATAACAGTCGAACGCTACCATTTGTTCAAGATACTGTTTCGTCGTCTCATATTGGCTCTCATGTAGAGTAATCGTACAACCTTCTAACAATGCAAGTTTTGAGGGAGCAATAAGTAGCGTGTGCAATATATGTTTACGATACCAAGTCAAACCATCTCTGTGAAGTGTTGTGTGTACGTAAAAGGGATAGAGAGACGGTTTCACCTCAGCCATGATTTGCCGAGACACAAGAGTGAATCTCTGGAAAATAAATCATTTATTACAAAGGACGGCGGTTCATACACCGCATCATCACTATTGCTCAGCTTAAGAGGTAACTGCCTCCCAGCTCGTCATTACTCGGCTCGCTGTTCTATCCAAGCCAAGTGTCGTTCGTCAAGAAAGTACAACTACAATGATGCCTATTTCGGCCGATATGAGATCCTTCCACATCGTCTCCGTCAGGCTGATGTACCTGTCAGTCTTTACTGCGGCAACAACAGTATCCTTTTTGGCGCTCTGCATATAGAGGACAAAAACACAAAGAACCGCTACATGCCGAGGGATGCGTTCGTAAAAGTAACGGGGTAAGACATGGGTTGAAGCGAATGTCGTGAACGCGTTGAGCATTTCGTTTCTGTGCGACCAGCTATGATAGAAGTCCGGACGCTTGACCCCGGCGGTCGGGGCATTGACCTGGCGTTGCATAGCTCCCAAGCTACTCAGATGCTTGCCGCACTGCCGTGAGTTTCGTTCTCCAAACTTGCGCTACATGATGGTGAGGCAAGCGACCTGATTATGTTCATGGCTTCTGCTCTTGAGACTCAGGCTCCGGTGTTGATTCGACGCCTTCCATGCCCCCCGTATCCTTGCTTCTCGAGAATGGGCCGCCTTCAGTAGTCGTGGGCGTCCCAAGCTTATCTGTTGGATACTTCTCCAGGTCTTTGTGGCTTGTCGAAAACGTCGATATGACAGGCGTGTAGTTCTGCGGATGATCGGCCTGAGTAGGCGTCTTCGCTTCAGGCCCGGCCGAAATCGGGCTGAGTAGGCTCTCGGGTCCGTTGTTTGCCTCAGGAGGCAGCAGTTCAGGCTGTGACTGTATGGCACCAACGAGACCATTCCAACCTCCTTCAATATCGCGCAGGAGGCGGACATATTCTTCGGGCACAAGTCCGCTTTCGCCGGTCTTCGGATCTTGAGCTACCAGCCAGCCCTGGCCGTGTCTGTATGATACCAGTATCACTTGCCCTTCTACCAGCGGTAGCTCGTTATCGTTTTCGCGTGCGAAGTCGAACAGGGCAACGGCCTTGCCGTGCATCTCCTCATCGGGCGACGCGATTGTGAATTGGTAGTCGCGCGAGAAGCGATTATCATCGTGTATGTAGTCCTCGGGTTCTGACATTTCATCGTCGGAGTCGTAAGGCGGGCCTTCGACGTCTCCGTCGGCATCCGCGTAGGCGCGTTGAGGGAGGGTGGTTGCGAAATGTGAGTCTCGCCGTGATGCTCCTTCTGGCACACCGAGCCGCGACGACTCGGGCGGGTATGTGATGTACTCGCCGCCAGGTCCGTTTGCAGCCTCATCGCTGACAAATTGGCTGCTCTCGCCGTTCATCGTCACTATCGAGCCGCGCCGTTGCTCCTCCGGATATCCTCTTCGCCCGCGAGTATGATCGAAGTTGACTATGTTAGATTTGTGCTTCTTGTGTCGTGCGCCGTGGTGGCTGGTGACCACCGGGCTTGAGATGTCGTCATCTTCGCTATAAGGCGGACCTCCGTCGTATGCTGTCTGTGGGAGTTGTTCGCCGTCTTTTTCATCCCAAGGCCCCGCGGACCAGCCACCTCGGTCGCTGCGCCATGCCACGGGTGGCGGATCTGATAGTCTACGGCTGTGTTCACTCGCTGGAGTTGAGATGTCGGAAGGCTGCTCCGGAAGCGGGCCGTAGAAAAGAGGGTGTAGCGGGTCATATGCGAAATCGCGCACGAGCGAGTAAGGCAGACTCGAGTGGAAGATGGGGAAGGCGGTCGATTGCGGCCTTGACCGTGCTGATTGGTGTGTGTTGGATGCGTTGGAGAAGGTGGATAGGCGCTTGTTCATGTAGGAACTTGCGCGCTCCAGCTTCGCTTTGGAAGGCGGGGAAGTAACGAGTGGGGGCAGAGATGTGCGATTCACGCCCACTTGTGCGGATGCACCAGGATCGCTCCTTGGGGATAACACGTCGGCAGCCATGTCTCGCTCGCTGTGTTTTTCTTGGACAGCCACTCCTTCTGTTATGTCCTTCAGCCGGTGCGGGTCGGCGGCCGTCTCTGATGCTGAATTGGTGTCTGTCATGCGCGGTAGAGGGACTTTGTGCAGGTTGTCTGGGTCTTCGGTGGTAAGCTATATGGGGATTTCCAGCGTGGTGGAGGGCAGTGTGGGTGGCAGAGCCGGTTCGCGACAGAAGTCAGCTTTCAGTAGTCAGGCAAGAGTCCGCAGCAGCAGCAGCAAAACGGGCTCCAAGTGGCCAGCGCACAAGGCGCACAAGCAGCTTTCGAATCAGAGCGAGCCGGTACGTCTGGAGCGGCTCTGGAATGGCAACGGCAGATGGCGCAGTGACTCGATGTTTGTATCGGATGTTTCACAGTCGACGATGACCAATGGGCCGGCGGGCGCGCTTGAGGCCTTCTGGAAGGACGGCGTCGGCTGTGCAGATGCGCCTGGCGATTGGGAGGGGGAGCGGCGGGCGTGAAGATATTTCCACTGTAGAGCGGCTGGAGAAGCGCTCGCTGGGGGTTCAGGCCTGGCGCTAACACTCGCCCAGTGAACGGGTGATGAGCTGCGCACCCGAGGGACAAGTCTGTGGCTTTGAATGGGCACCGTGCAGGAGGGGAACGGCAACAGTGCGGCTAAGGGGCGACGCGACTATGGCGAAAGACTCGGCGGGTTCTGGATGTTGTCGTGGACCAGCGCGCGCGTGGTGGTGAAGGCCAACTCTATTTTTGGCACCAGGCAGCGGGGGAGGTGCTAGATGCCAATGCTGTGTTTCAAGACAAGTTTGACAGCGTCGCCAGAGTGAAAAGGCATAAGAAGAGGTCCGCAATGGGCAACACTTCTCAAGTACAGGAACAGGTCAACGGGCCTCAACACGGAGCCTTGCTGGCATCAACGAGGGGTGTGTGTTCTGACGGCTCTTCCTTTCCATGATTGCAAACCCCATCAATGCATGCTTAGGCTACTTTCACCCTAGTAGGCGTTTCAGGTCACCGACTAGCTGCATAGGGACCGCTTGTCGAATGCGCTTCGAGTCCGACGAGGAACTTCCTTGACGCGGTCTTCACCGCGTGCTGTCACGAGGGCAGACACATCATAGCTGGCTCGGATATCATTCCTTTGGCCATGTCATGATTGTTTTCCGACCACCGTACCCAGGCCAGAATGCCGTGTGACAGGTGCGTTTGAGCTGGGTTGCCTAGACATGCCTGTATGGGCACAGAGGCTGCTTGCGCAATTGCATAGCGTCACCCACGATCTCATCTAACAGCATACGATCTATACGAGGCAATGCTATACTGTCCAAGCGCTTCAGGAACAGGAAAACGCCTGATGTCAACACGGCAAAGTATCAAGTCGACCAGCCCCTCCATTTCGTCTGGTGTTCGGCGCCCCGCGTAATCTTTCACCCGAATGCTTAGTCAGCCGCTAACAAGACATTGACCTGAGCTCTGAGCTCGACAAAGACTGCAACCTCCACAGGCCTCGTGCCTTGCATAACCACCACACCACCACCGCCACTTTCTCCAACTCTTGCTCATCCCCTTCATGTATGGGACTATGAGCTTGGGTTCCTACTCTGTTCACTGTAAGTTTCTTCCCACCCCCGATGCGTGCCCACCTATGCGATGATGAACACATATTGGAGCTGTCCTAGGCAATAGCCTTTGAGGACTCTAATAATAATATACACTGAAAATTCTGATCTCGCGTGAATGTTGCAATGATTGTTACCTTCGAATGTGTGGAGCCGTAGCTAACTGTTGTGAAGAATTTGCAGAACTGCCTACCGACGCGTCGAGCAGCAACCCGCCCGCCCACGCTTCATTTCGACCATGTCTGCCGACCCACGACTGCGCGCGAGGCAGGAGCAGCAGCCTACACCCACTGCTGCTGCTACTACTACTGCTGCTGCTACTGCTGCCCCTCCACCTCCGCCGCCGCCGCCGACCGAACCTAGCCCCACGGGTATGGACGGCGCCAATGACGCGCACGCAGAGCAGAACATGGTGCCTGATGATAGCTTCAAGCTCAAGTTCTGCACTGTGTGTGCGAGTAACCAGAACCGGTATGTCCAGCGCTGATCTGCGAACCCAACTTCTTGCTAACTTGCTTAGTTCCATGGAAGCTCATCTGCAGCTTGCTTCAGCGCACCTCCCCACAATCAGCTTTGGCACTGGCTCTCTTGTCCGACTCCCCGGTCCAACCATCACGCAGCCTAACGTCTATCACTTCAACAGCACCACCTACCGTGCTATTCATGATGAGCTCGCTCAGCAGAATACTGCCCTCTACACTCACAACGGCCTGCTCAACATGCTTGGTCGCAACTTGAACATCAAGGGCTATCCTGAGCGCTTCCAAGACTGGGTGCCCGGTAAACCACGTCTGGATCATGCTGAAGACAAAGGTTCGCAGGGGACGGAATCGGGTGTCGTTGATGTCGTTGTAACGTGCGAGGAGCGTTGCTTCGATGCTGTGCTAGAAGATCTCCACAACAAGGGCGGAAAGCTCAACCGACCTGTTCATGTCTTCAACGTTGATATTAGGGATAATCACGAGGAAGCCCTCGTTGGTGGTAAAGCTATTCTCGACCTCGCGCTCAGCTTGAATGAAGCTGCGGCAAAAGAGAGGGAGCAGCATGGCGACAGTGGATGGCAATCAGGTGGCGGAGCTGCTCGTTCTGGCTTCGACGAGCGCGTTCCCGATATACTTGCAGCCTGGCAGGAGCGATGGCCCAACATGCCTGCGCTCTGGAGTTTGGCTTGGTTCTAGTTCCTACATGACGGCGTTACTGTTTTCCACATCCTGGCATGATTGCCCTAGATACCCATATTGCATAGCGAGGCGTTCTGGACATGACATCTATATGACGAGCTCTTACGAATACACGATTCCATAAAGCTCATCTTTGGTCCTTTGATTCGTGCACTGATATGAATCACCATGTGACATCCGACATGACGTCGTATCACAAACGTAGCGTACGCGCACAAGCGTCCACCGGCTGTAGCCTCGAGGCACGGTCTGCAGCTAGCCACGTGTGTGTACCACGAGCTCATCGCGAAAGTCAATGTGCTTTTGAAGTATCCTAGCAGCAAACAACACTCTAATCTCTTCTAACATTTCGATCAACATCTTCTATGTGGCGAGGGCCATATTCAAGACACCTCTACCCTACCTAGCTACTCACCAACACTATGAACGTAGTGCTACTCTTTGTCCTTATTGCGGGCGTCATCGCAACATTTGAATCAAGAGGTGGAGCTGGTAGTAGACGCTGTGGATGGGAACTTATGCAAAATCTCCGTATGTTCATCGATCGTCTTTCCGTCCCCTCCTGGACCAATCTGATATTACTATAGAAATTCCTATTCCCAAACTCGGTGACTGGTACGCAGAGCAAACCGGTGATCGCTCTTTATGCGTGCTTCAGGATGACGGCTCGGAATACTGCACTTGTATCTATGAGTGTGGAAACGGTGTTTGGAGGTCTCTTGACGAGAGTAACCACGACATTTGGAGATATGGAAACGAGAGCAGCTCGTGGGAGTGGGAATCGGGATGCAAGAAATACTGTCACGCTGGGGTATGTGATGGACAGGATTGATGGAGTCGGAGCAAATGCAGAACTGAGCGGCAGGCGTTGTTGAGATGCGACACACGACTGTGTTTGAAAATGGTGATTAGGATGTTCCAGGAAATGAATGTGGAAATAATGAGTTCCTTTTGTTGGTTTCCATCTGTTGTGTTGGGAAACACTCACTGATCCCGAATGTGTATCATCATTTGATGATAAGGGGAAACTAGCAAACTGCACTTGCTCGTGCCTTGGCCCAAACGGATGCTAAACGGTTGTTCTCCGAGCATTCCGAATTGCCCTCTCCTCTCAACGATCATCACAAAAGAGACAACCATAGGAACAAACAAAAAGTTACTGTGCCCATCCTGGCTGGGACCAGTCTTTAGCAAAAAAGACGACGTTGGCCAGATTCGAACTGACGCTCCCGAAGGAACAAGATTTCTAGTCTTGCGCGATAACCACTCCGCCACAACGCCTCGAATCTTTTTCATGCTTTGCTGCTTGATGACATAATCTTTGATCTACCATAATATATCCCAAAAACTATATTATGATCACAGAAATCTGGCTTGTACTGAGGTTCGCTGTTCAGTTGGTGGAGCCTAGGGTCAAACGGCATCCAAAAGCGACCCCTGTCTCGGCCCCAGCGCAGGACACCCGCAGCACGCATCGCAGTAAGAATTCATGTTCCAGCCGACAGCTTCTAGGTGTTCGCTGGGAACTCAATTGAGTTGTTCAAGCTTGACAGTAACCTGGCCAATCGCACACATTCTCTTCAAAGTAAAGCGCAATGTCGACGCTAACGTCAGGCGTCCTATCTTATCACCGCCCTTCTGCACATCGAGAAAATCGTCGTCTTGGCCGCCCAGTCTGTCGGATCACCAACGTTCCGCCGCAAGCTCCGGCTTCCACGAAACGACATGCATCAGTACCGTCGGAATGTTTGTCGTGGCTTGCATCAGAAACAACCATCAACGTCTATTGTGTCCAAGCTAAGCAGTCTTCACCTAAGCATCGTCGCCGTCAGTCCTTTGGGTAAGCCTGCACGTCGCAGGGACAAATACTCTGCAGACTTCTACCAGCCTTCTGCCGTAGGCCGTGCCTCTTAAGCCTCGATACTGTCGTCTTCCGTACCCTTGATGCAAAACCACTTGTGTTCAAAATGGTGTACCGTGGGCGGCCATCAACAGGCTGCAAGAAGTGCCGCGAAAGAAAAATCAAAGTGAGTAACGGGCTGCCTCCATTTATACGTCCAAACTTGCGTTGTGAACCCCTCCAGGGTATGCCGCGCGAGGTTGCGGTCGCCTGCCGCTTGTCGCAACTAGCTTCTTCCTAACTGGGAATCCAGTGCGAGATGGTAGCTTCAGATCTCAGTTCCGATTTGTGCTACGAGTCCGATCTAGCCTCGGTGATGCAGGTTGCTGACTAGACGTCTACAGTGCGACGAGCGTCCAGGTGGTTGCGTAAAATGCTTTGAACGAAAATTCCAATGCCCTGGATACGATCGAACTGTCGACGCTTTCTTCCACGATGAAACCGCGCAAACTCAGGCGAAGGCGAAAAAGTCAAAGGCAAAGGCCATTGCGGCGCGTGATGCACGAGATACCAGAGATCTCCGAGAGGCATATCTACAGATTATGGCCAAACAATGTCCAGGAACGGCCATCACAGCGCCACTCATTGACCAGGGTATATCCTTCTTCATGTCCTACTACTGCACGGGTGTGGATCAGCCATCGATACAGTCAATGGAGTACCAGCAACACCTATCCACACACGGCTTCCATCCGCTCGTCGCAACATCAATGACAGCCTTGGGTATCGCTGGCGTAGCCAACCTTTACATGGACTCTCGTCTCAAAAGCGAAGCGACACGTTGGTACCTCGAAGCTATCAAAATGGCCAATGCGGCAATTTCCTCGCCTGAAGACGTAACGGCCGATAGTACCCTCACCTCAGTCAATCTCCTGAGCATGTTCGAAGCAACGTTCAATGACAACTCCCTAGCTGGATGGAGTAATCATGTGGATGGCGCTGCCTCCCTAATCAAAATGCGGGGCATGGGCCAATTTTCGACTCCAGCGGGACAGAGAATGTATCTCCATACCATTGGTTTGCTAACGATGAACTGCATGGGAAAAGGTGTTCCACTTCCTCAGTATGTTCACGATCTGAACACCGAAGTTATAAAGCACCTAGATACCGAGGATCCTAGGAACCGGTTCTTCTTTCTTCACATCAAGACCATTGACCTGAGAGCGCGGATTCTGAACCAAGAAGCGTTCTCATTGATGGACATCATAGATTCGGCACTAGAGCTTGACGAGGTTGCTGTCAACATTTTCAAAGATCAAGGTCCAGACTGGGACTATGATGTAGTGCCTTGCGAGGAACAAGAGTGCTGCTATGAGAACTTCTACCATATTTACCCAACTGCAACAGCAGCTCAAACTTGGAACTGGGTGCGTTACAATAGGATCTATTTCCACGACATCATCCGAAATTGCATATTAGCAGACTTCACTTCGACTCCACCCACGCTTGTCGGCACCAAGTATCATCAGCAACTAGAAACAAGCGCTCGCACTCTATACCAGCTACAATCTGACATCATAGCAAGCATGCCTCAATTCTTGCACGACGTCCCTGATGAAGCGCCGAACAGAGTAGCTAGCCCGACAAATAGTGAGCCGACCCCGCCAGGTGCGTCGGGGCGAGGCAAACCATGGCCTACGGCCGCTAGTACAACCTCAAAATCTCCTTATCGTATAGCACTCAAATCCCTTGATGGGAACTTTCGAGGCAACACGCACAATCTCGTCAAAGCGCTGATCGGAAACGGATCAGTAAAAGATCGACTTCCCATCGTGCGGGTTGCAGGAGGCTACAGCACTGTATGGGCACTCTATGTGGTATGGTTTTTAATCGTAACTAGCATCATGTTCTTACTACTAATGATTCTATGTAGGCTGCCGCCATGCCGTTAGCCTCGCCAAGAAGCCAAGACTTCGTAGACAATTGCATGACACGAATCGAGCACGAATTTGGCATCAACCAGGCTCGAGTGCTATCAAACGCTCTGAAACTCAAACGTCACCTCGCTAGCAGAGGCGCCCTTGCTTTCGGTATATGCCCGCAATACTTACCACCGGACGACGGAGTTTATGTTCCGCAACAGGATCTATACAATAAGGTGGGTCAAAAGATTCCTGAGGTCCTGATGGAGGCATCCTTCCAGGCTACTTTTCCAACTGTGGCAGAGATTCTTTCAGGGCCTAAATACTAGAATCAAACCTGACTCGTGCAGGTTGTTGAGATGACCGACGAAACGCCTGAGGCGCTGTTGTTCGATGATCTGGATTCAGTATACTGAGACACAGTCAACGTTACGAGATCTTCATTAGGGTGATATCTCAACAAGATATCTGAGAAATACCACGGTCGCTTCGAACAAGGTAACGAAGCGTTGATCCTCATCATCCTCATTCGCATTCTGCTAAACGAAAGGACGACCGATTCGAGTGGCCCCAGGCTTACATTACCCTTGAAAACCGCCACTACACCAGCTCTAGAACCGCCGATCATCGTATTATCACACATGAGTTTTGTAAATCAGACTTATGTTGCTAGTATTGGGACTAGTCTTGTGGCGATGTTTTTCCTGGATTGGGTAACAAGAAATGCAAAGGTCAGAAGGGTGGACTCATAGTGCCTCAAAGAGGGCACTCGCTTCTACCAATCGAGTCAAGCGGACTTTTTTTGCTCTCCGACGGAGTGAATGTCCACTCAACACCGCTTATGCGCCTATATCCACCCATTAGAGGATCGCTTCCGCCGTCGCACATTGTCATAAACCCCTCCTCGAATCTCTATGCACCACACCTCGAACAGGTCGACCGTACGACCGCCGCCCGAGACACCCCGCATCGAGAATAACTTCGAACGCGATAACCCTCTTCCATAATGACGACTGTATTCATTCCGCAGACAGGCTCGCCTCTGCTCAGCCTTCCAGGAGAGATTCGGAACAAGATCATTCGAAATGTTTTCAACTATGAGGATCCAGTTCTACTAGTGCCTCATATCGGTTCAATAATGTATCTGTCGTCGCCAGCGATGGTTTGTGCGACGCAGGACATCCAGGTATTTACTACCTGCCGCCAGCTCCATGGCGAATGCAAGAGTATCTTTC